AAAAAGAGCCCAGAAAGATATATTATAGGAAACCCATTAAAGACGTGAGACTTAAAAGTGGAAGAGTCGTTATTTTAGGGTGATGGTCTAATCTGTTTATCACTGACTCATCCATTCAGCAATGACGGTCGACTTAAGAAAGGCTGATATAAAACAGTTAAAGACACGAGGCTTGAAAATAAAATAACTTTTCGGATGTTGGTCTTCCCTATTCATTTGTTCACTGAATCACTCGTTCAGCAAATATTTATGAAGGGTTTACTGTATGTCCATTAGAAGCTGGAGATGGCAGTGAGCGAAACTGAACAGTTTCTGCCTTCTCAGATTTTACAGGCTAATTAATGCTGGGGAAAAACCCGAATTCAGTTGACTCAACAAGTATCTGTCGAATGCCTCCTATGTATCTAGCACTGTTCTACGCACTGAAATAATAAAACCAAGAAAAACTCTTCCAATCTTGGAGCTTACATTTGAGTAGGAGGAGTCAGACAACAAATAGGTAAATAAGATGTGTATCCTGTGAGATGGTGATAAGTGGATGGAGGACAGTTTGGCGGTGCGGGAGGTTAGGGAATGCTGAAATGTCTTGTTTTTCTGCCTGGAGTTTTACATTATCCTCTGTTCTAGCTATCCCCCTATATCCTTAAATTTTTTCATTCCCTTAAATGTATTCTTTGCACTGCCACCCAAATGAACTTTCTAATAAAAACACTTTAATGTAAAAATGGGGTTCCTCATCACTTAGACTTGAGGATTAAGCCCAAGTACTTAATGTGAGGCTCTTCACCCCATCTTCCTCTCCAACCTCATCATCCAATACTCTCTGTCTTACTTAAGCCTCCAGAGCAGGGAATGGCAAACTTTCTCAACAAAGGGCCAAATAGTACACATTTTAGACTTTATGTACCATATGGTCTATCACATCTATTTGGCCATTGTCATTCAAAACAACCATAGACAATACTTAAATGAGCATGGCTGTTTCAATAAAACTTTATTTATGAACACTGAAATTTGACTTTCATGAATTTTCACGTTATGAAATATTTTTCTTTTTTTTTTTTCTTGACAGCTGGAAAATATAAAAACCATTCTTAGTTCACTGGCTGTACAGACAGCCAGCCAGATATGGCCCACAGCCTGTAGTTTGCCAAACCCTGCTCTAGAGTGTGGAGTGGCTTTTACTCATCTTCATCACCACTACCATCCCAATGTACCATTGATGATTTCTTATCTGTGTTGTTGCAGTTCCTCTTCCTAACTCCTATACCTTCCTCAAGAATCATGAAAAGAAAATAGAGTGTATATGTGTGTGAAGGGAGAGTGAGGGGTTTGCAATTCGAGAGTCAGCTCTGAAATCCTCCCCAATAATCTTTCCCTTGATTTTAGTCATCCATCCTCCCCTCACGCCACATTCAGTTTTCAAAGCTGTCCAAATGTTACTATCCCACATGCCCAAAGCAGTTTATAAGCTCTTTTCTTACATTTACTACATTGTATTTCAGTTAGTCTTCAGATTACAGTGTCATCTGAAAAATATAAGTTTTTTGGGGGGACAGGAACCGTGTCTTACTCATCTTTCTATTCATAGTACCTAGCCCAGCGCCTGGGTACTAGTAGGCAGTCAGTAAATGTTTTGGATTGAACAATCTAACCTGAACCAAGGCAGTGGCACTAGGTATGTTTAGTGGGAGTTAGACTAGAGAAATAGAAGAACCTACTGAGTGGTTCGACTTAGAGAGACTTGGCAAATAGGAAGGGAGGATTCATGAGTAACAGAGTACCTGACTTGGGTAGCAGGTGGAAAATGAAAATACGAATCTGGAACATAGAGAAGAGGTCTTGGCAGGACACATTTTTTTTTTATTCCATTAACATATGGGATCAGAGGAACTTCTTTTTTTCAGAATAGAACTCTTATACTATGATATCTTAATTAATTCTCACAGTGACCTGTATATTTGCATTACTAACAGCATTTTATAAATGAGCAGACTGAGGCATTGTAAGAAGGACTAGAGATTTGAAACCGGGTCTTTTTGCCTTTAAATTCCTGTCCTTTTTATGGTTCTATGCCACTGCCTTTCAGGAGGATTATAGATGGTTAGTGATAGTGTGCAGAAGTCAAGTAACGTATTAAATGTGTCCTTAGTTGTGGCAAAGTAAGAGGTCATTTTGCAACTTTAGGGAATGGAGCATCGAAGGAAAACTGCGCTACACTGAAGTGTGTTGTGGGGGTCTGGAGATGGGGTGTAGATCACATTTTTAAGAAACGTGGCTAAAAAGGAGAGTAGGGAGCAGTGATCACAAGGAGGGAGGCAGAGTAAAATTACAGAGAACGGTCGCCTAACTGATCTAGAGAAGTACATGGACTATAGCCCTCCAAAATCAAGAGACGATATACAACAGAGCTGTCGGACGGGCGTGGTGGCTCACACCTGTAATCTCAGCACTTTGGGAGGCCTAGGTGGGCGGATCACTTGTGGTCAGGAGTTCAAGACCAGTCTGGCCAACATGGGGAGCCCCATCTCTACTTAAAAATACAAAAATTAGCCAGGCGTGGTAGTGCGTGCCTGTAGTCCCAGCTCAGGAGGCTGAGGCAGGAGAATCGCTTAAACCTAGGAGGCAGAGATTGCAGTGAGCAGAGATTGCGCCACTCCAGCCTGAGTAACAGAATCTCAAACAAAACAAAACAAACAAACAAAAAAACCAGAGCTGTCTAGACACCCTTAGATTTCAGTCGTGTCACTTAGTTACTGTATTTCTCACTGCTACTGAACAAGCTGTAGAGTACAGGTAGGTAGGAGGTATGGGGTGGCCCAAACTGCTTTCTGGTGAATCAGGTGTATCGTAGTGATGGCGGGAAAGTGTAGTTTCTGTCTTTGATTAGGTTAGCAACCAAGCCTTAGACATAATCCTAAGAAAAATGGTAGACAGCACAGGCCCATTTTTATTCAGAAGTTAGTAGGTCCTGATAGTTTTGTCTTGTATATGGAAATAATATAATTTTGGGAAAAGCTTAAAGACAACCATTTTCATTGAAAAATAGTTTATTTATTTTTAACTGACAATTTATTTGTCACAGAACTCAAAGCCAAGTAAGATAACATTTGATGATACGTTGAAGAATTTAATTTGTCATTACTTTGTAATGCTGTAATAAAATACTGGATATTTTGAAAAGAAGGTTTTTTTTTTTTTTTTAAAGAAACCTATGGTCTGGCAATGGAAGCCTTTTGTCTTTTTTTTAATTTTAATTTTTATTGTTTTAGTTCATGTTTATTGTCTGCCTTTCTGTTTTCTAAAACATTCAAGAAAATGTGGGCAAAGGAAAAATGGCGAAAGCAGCCTCATTTCGATGCTGTGAACCAAAACTTTAGGAAAAAGGATTTAAATTATTAGAAAACATTGAATTATTTCAGTAATTTTATGATCATTCAGTTCTGCAGTTCTTAGCATTGAGTTCTAGCCATTAACAGTATTTTAAGAAACCTGGAAGAAAAAAGTCACATTGCCTAAATTTTACATTATTCTAGATGTTAGATTAATATCTGCTTCTTAAGAATATTTCAGAGCACCAGAATTCCTTTATAACATTTTTTCATTATTTCCATTTAGACTTTGATTAATTACTATTGTCAAGAGAGATATTTCCATCATGTGTTACTGGTTGCCAGTGAAGGAATTAAGAGGTATGGAAGTGATCCAGTCTTCAGGTTTTATCATGCCTATGGCACATTAATGGAAGGTACGTGTTAATCATTAAACATGTTCCATCAGTTTTGAATTCTTGCTTTGTACTAAGAACAGTTTTTCATATCATAATCTTGATTTTCAGGTAAAACTCAAGAAGCTCTTCGAGAATTTGAGGCTATTAAAAATAAACAAGATGTATCACTTTGTTCTCTAATTGCACTGATATATGCCCATAAAATGAGTCCTAATCCAGGTATGGTATTTAAATACAATGCTTAGGACAATTTTTCCTATTCAGTTTATTTTGATTTTTCTCAGTTATCAAGTCATTCAGTCTGATCACACTATATTATGTATTTTCAATAGATACAATTTATACTATATTTATCTTCCTGATAAGGGTATAAATTCATCAGGCACAAGAAATGTGTCTTCTACTACTTTCGTGTTCTTTATATCCTACGGCAGAGATTTCATTAGTACATAGGGATTTTTTTTAGACAACTTAAAGGGGAATGTATATTAGTAATTGTTATACCAAAAAACAGGTACTGTATATGCATAAATTGCTCTGCAGCAGCCAAGTTTACAACTTATGTGCAAATATACAGCCAATGCAGTTTATTTCTGTATATTAAGCTTCTTGAGAGCCTTAAAACCCTTTATGAGGGCTATATCTTGAGAGATACTCAGCAAATTTTTATGCAATAATAGGTTGACTAGATTATAGAAGGAAATTTATACATAAACCAGCAATTAAAGTTGTGTAAACTGCCAGGCTAAGTGGCTCAAACCAGTAATCCCAGGAACTCAGAAGGCTGAGGTGAAGGATTACTTGAGCCCAGGAGTTCGAGGCCAGCCTGGGCAACATAGTTAGACCCCCCATCTCTAAAAAAACAGAAAATAAAAAATAAAGTTATGTGAACTGTCTTAATGTATAGTTAACTTAATGGCGAAGGCAGAAGAGTTTCCCAATTATATGTAATAAAGAAGAAGTAGTGTTATATTCTTCCATATATATCCAGTAACAGCTAATAGGATTGTAAATATAGATTGTGTTTCAAAAAATTAGATAATAAACAAAAGTCGTAGACTGGTTCCTTGAATATTAGATGAGACTTTTTTCTAAAGTCAAGTATGGCATACCTCCTTCACACATATGCAAATCAATACAAAGTTATTTAAAACATGTAAATATGTGCTTAATTTATCCAAGAAACTATGCCTAATACAGTGAGAAGCTACAAAAGAATTGTAATAATTGGTTCATGCCATCAAGTTGGTAATCTAGTGGAAAAAACAAAATGTAAAAACCACAAAGATTAAATTCCAGTGTTTCTATTAAATAATACAAAATGAAACAAATGAGTTTATAATTAATTGAAGTTGATATGTACTATTAATTTGGAAGAGTAGGCTGAGAAGGCTTTTGAAAGTTTGCACCTTAATCTGATCTTTGAAGGACTGGTAGAATTTGAATATGAAGAGTATTGGCCAGAGAGGAGAAATGGATGGGCAAATACATGGAAGTGGTTCAGGTTTAGGTTCTTCTGTGGATCCCCTTTCTCCATACTCCAGTGGGAGTGTGTTTAGCTAGAGCAGAGAATTTTCATGGGAGAGCTGTAGTCAGTATAAATAAAAGAAATTAGTAAAAAAATAATTTCTTTTTAGAATCAAGTTTTTATTTAATTGGTTATTCTTACCAGTGTTGATTCTGTTGGAAACTGATTTGCAGGACACTGAAACGATGGAATCAGAAATACTGTTTAGAGGAACCTGAGTGCTAACTCTACTTTGCACCAAGGATGATACTGAATGGACTTGAACTCTAGTAGGGGCCCAGATGTCTGTAAATACCACCTAGGAAAGTCCTAGATTGTTAGTATACATTGTTCCAGGATGCCTATGTAAACCCTGCTTATAAAACAGCTGAGATCTGGCAACAGCTTTGTGCAGACAGTGTTAGAGCTAATTGATACCTCATTAGGGACGTGATGGAAAGCTGAGTAGGAAAGATTTCCTGTACAATGCCTGCTCCTGCCTGGTGAGGTTTTTTTGTTTTGTTTTGTTTTTGTTTTTTTTTCTCTTTTTCCATTTCTGTATCATGGCTGTTTAATGAATGCTTCTGAAGGGGTTGTAGGGATGGGAAGTGGGGAGAGGAGAAAAGGGTCTTCTTGCTAAGCAATCTGTAGACTTACAGAAACAGTTTTGTTTCCTTAACTTGTTATATTGTACCTTGTTAATTTCACATTTAAATTTGTATCATTAGAGTTGAAAGGAAGAGTCACATACCTTTCTCCTTGGTAGCCATTCCTGGAAGATAGAACTGTTGGAATCACGGGCCTCAACTTACATTTCTTCTTCCTCATTGCATGGCTGATTCAGATTCTGATTCCATCCAGGGTTTGGGTATAATTGACTTCTGTGTCCTAAGCAGATACTTTTATATATATATATATATATGTATGTGTGTGTGTGTGTATATATATATGTGTGTGTATATATATGTGTATATATATATAGAGAGAGAGAGAAAGCAGGAGAGAGAGAGAGTATACAGATTTAATGTAAGTGAATAGAGTTATCTATTTAAGGGAGCAGTCAGTATTAAACTACATCAGCAATTACGCCATCTTTTTACTGGCCCATAATAGTAACTGGCATGTTTATATATTTTAGAATTGTATTTAAGAAGTATTAATACTTTGAGTACCAGTAGTGGACCTGTTCCTAATAATTGTGATTAGAACCATTATACATTTTTACAAGTCTTATTATTAAAAAATATTAGCCTATACAGCCTTTCTATTTTGGAAATGATGTAAACTCTATAGCTGTATTGTGCATTGCAGTGATCCTTGACCATATACCTCCTCTGTTGCCCAGACTGGAGTGCAGTGGTGCGATCTAGGCTCACTGCAACCTCCATCCCCCAGGTTCAAGCAATTCTCCCTGTCTCAGCCTCCCAAGTAGCTGGGATTACAGGCACCCACCACCACACCCACCTATTTTTTTTTTTTTTTTTTTTAGTTGGGTTTCACCATGTTGGCCAGGCTGGTCTCAAACTTGTGACCTCAGGTGATCCACCCACCTCGGCCTCCCAAAGTGCTGGGATTACAGGTGTGAGCCACCATGCCCGGCCATATACAACTTTTTTAGTAAGTTTGAGGAACTGAATTTAAAATTTGATTTAATTCTAATTAATTTACTTTTTAAATTTAAAAATGATACTTGGTTCAGTTATTAGAAAACTTATTTCGCAATAACTTGAGTCTAAAAATCTGCTTTTCAACCATAAGTTTTATGAAAACTACAAATCAAGTATTTTTGAATAAAATGTAGCCTTTTTTTTTTTTTTTTTTGAGTAAGTCTTGCTCTGTCACCCAGGCTGTAGTGCAGTGGTGTGGTCTCGGCTCACTGCAAGCTCTCTGCCTCCCAGATTCATGCCATTCTCCTGCCTCAGCCTCCCCAGCAGCTGGGACTACAGGTGTATGCCACTGCACCTGGCTAATTTTTTTTTTTTTGCATTTTTAGTAGAGACAGGGTTTCACCGTGTTAGCCAGGATGGTCTCGATCTCCTGACCTCGTGATCCACCTGCCTCAGCCTCCCAAAGTGCTAGGATTACAGGCATGAGCCACCGCGCCCAGCCAAAATTTAGCATCTTAATTGTGATGTGCTGTTAGTATGAAATACCACATTTCACAGTTAGTAAGAAAAAAGCATGCAAAATATCTCATTAATTTTTCTATCGATGATGCATTGAAATTATATCTTAGATATATTAGCTTAAATAAAACATTAAGATTAATTTTAATTGTTTCCTTCTATTTATTTGATAGGGCTACTAGAAAATTTTAAGTTATATATATATGGCTTGCATTTTATTTCTATTAGACAGTACCACTATAGAGAGAAGTAAATTTTTTGCCTTGTTAATTATCTGACCTTTTATAAATACTTGATCCAGAATTTAATTTTTATTTAATATCATTTTCCCCTCCCAGATAGAGAAGCTATTCTGGAATCAGATGCCAGAGTGAAGGAACAACGTAAAGGAGCTGGAGAGAAAGCCTTATACTATGCAGGCTTATTTTTATGGCACATTGGTCGCCATGATAAAGCAAGAGAATATATTGACAGAATGATCAAAATGTCAGATGGTAGTAAACAGGTAGCTATTTTTCTGATTTTAAAATAATAACATTAAAAATGCTTACGTTATTGATCTATCCAGTAGTATCTGTGGTTTAGTTCTTTATTATTGTCCACTCTATTGCCACTTTGTAAATGACAGCTTTATTTTAACCCATTTATGGTTATCGATATGGTTAATAGTGTATTATAGAATAGGGATTCTCTAAGGTTAGTTTTATGCTACTAACTCTTAAATGATCCCTGCCTGGTTCCTTCCCTCTGTTTTTCTCTTTCTTTTTTTCTCCCTTTTTTTTTCCTTCCCTCCATATTTTGTTCTTTCCTTTTCTCCCTCTCTCCTTATTGAACAGCTGTAGATACAAGGCACCATTATTTGTAGTGTTAATAATGTAAAGGAAAATAATATATAAACTTCACTTTCATGAATGAATAATCCAGTAGTGGCATAGAGCACATCCCCAGCTAATATTGTGAGAAAAATGATAGATGATATGAGAGATATGTGATTAAAGTATGCAAGAAAATAATAGCTAACATATATTGCTTGCTTACTTTGTGCTAGGCACTGTTTTAAATTAAGGAGAGATCACATGCATAAGTGTTAAGAGAATGTGAAAGAATTTTTTTGAAGGAACTAGCATTTGAACTAAAACCTGAAAGAAGGATACAATTTCAACAGGCAAAGATTATGGAAAAGGGAAGTAGATACTCCCAAGGTGAGAAATAATAGATGGAAATGAGACATGTTACTTCAGTGTACACTGAGATACTCATATTTGATGGAACATAGGATACGTTGGTAATGAGCAGGGAAGAAAAGCTTGGAGAAGTAGACTGAGACAAATTGAAGGATCTTGACTGCTAGTTAGAAATATTTGTGTCTGATTTGACATTCTTTGAGAGGCTACTGAAGACTTTTAATTATGGTAGTGATTTTATTAGAGTGCAAATCCAGAAGATTAATTTAACAGTGGTTTCTTGGATGAAGTGGCTTGAGGATAAACTGAAATGCAGCAAAAATAAAAAAGATAGTACTTTCTTGCAGAAGGTTTTGAGGCATGACACTAAAATATTGTACAGTGAGTACAAAGTTCAGAATTTTTAAATTACCCACAGGACCTGTGAACTGATGATAAATAGTTGGGAAAGATAACAAGTTGTCATGTATTAGAATGTCTTTGAGGCTTTCAGCCTAAATAAATTAGAGACCAGTTAGCATAAATAGAAAATACATTGGCGTAAGAAACTAATCTTAAAGGGAAGTGATCTGACTTAAGACATGCTGTATTTCTGGTTCTGGCAGAACAGTAAGATGGAGATAACAGATGAATTTCTGGAAAAATAAAAATTTAGAAGAGGTTTTGGGCTAGAAATATAGGTTGGGAATCATCTACACAGAGACAATAGTTAAAACCATTCAAATAATGGCACTGATGTAGTGCATAGCATTGGTTAAGGTTCTGATCTGTATTTTCAGGTGAAATACAGGGAGGTGTATATAGTCTTGGTTAAACATTTATAAATTTGTCAGTTAACCTAGATTTTTTAAATAGAAGAGCATATTTCACAGTTTTTTATTTGACCTTAAACAGAAAAATAACCAGTTTTTGTCTTCTTTTCAATCCTGTGTGTCTTACAACCCATTGGCCCACTGACTTGTGTAAAGATAAATATCCATGAGTTCTTCAGTTTCTAATGTTTCAGGCCGTTCACCTGTCATTTGAAATTCAATGGACTAATCAAAGAAGTTAAGAAGATAGTTGCCAGATCATCTGAATGTTTAGGATATGTGAAGCAAGACATCTTCTGTTATTTCATCTTAGTTCATTTAGACTGTTTGCTCAAAAAGAGACAACAAATTCTCATCTATATATTGAATTACATGTTTAAGTGTTATTATTCATCAATTACTAGCAAAGTCTCAGAGAAAATAATGGTTTTAACACTAATGGAATATTTGATAAGCTTCTTAATTTTAATATTGAGCTCAATAGTAATGTTAAAGGCTGAAATTTGTAATATAGTTCCCAAGATACTAGGCTGGCAAGGGTTCAAAAGTGATTTCACTGACAGAATTTTATTGTTCATAACATATTTGTTAGAGTCCTTTTTGTTATTAATTGCCAGAAAAATGACAGTAGGCTCTTTCATTAACATTTATTTCTTTTCATTTCTAAAGAAGTAAAAATAGAATTATTCATTTTACAGGGACACGTTTTGAAAGCATGGCTTGATATTACAAGAGGAAAAGACCCTTACACTAAAAAAGCACTGAAGTATTTTGAAGAGGGACTCCAAGATGGGAATGATACTTTTGCTCTGCTGGGTAAGGTGAGTTGGAGTTAGGGTAAACAAATCAGGTTTCAAAATGTATTCATAATATGTTTGAAACCTGACAAAACCAAGTAGCTCAAAAAAGTTGATAATTTTCATGATGCTGTTGTCAGCTCACAGCTGTAAGGTGGACTGGCATTTGTATAAGACGATGAGCAATACACTAGAGAAATGTATTCCCTGCCAAAGTTCCTGAATCCTGGATCAGCTGTAACTGTTATTGTTGTTGTTATTTTGGTTCAGACGTTCTTTCCTCAGCATTTATCATGTGTCTTATGTATGTGAAGTGTCCCTTTAGATACTAGAAACCCTGAGCAAGAGAAAACCTGTTTTTATGGAGCTTGTATTCTACTGATGGAGGCAGACAATAAACAAAATAATTAAGTAAGTTATATAATATATTAGAAGGTGGTAAGTACAATGGAAAATACAGCTGTAAAAGCTGGGGCATGAACTTCAATTTTACATGAAGTGGTCAGAGAAAGTGACATTTGAGCAAAGACATTTAAGGAGGTGAGGGTTAAAGCCCTCCAAGCATCTTGGGGAAAGTATTTCAAATAGAGGAGATGATGAGTTCAGGTACCTTAAGGCGTATTCAGGGTTAGCAAGGAGGCCAAAGTGGATTGAATAAAGAGAACAGAAGTGAAGGCCTGAGGAAGAAAGGTGGGATGGGGATGAGGAGGAGTAGTGGGCCTGTTCTGTGAGGCCTTTGGCTTCTACCTTCAATTAGAGAGACAGGCAGCCAATACAAAGTTTTGAACAGAGAAATAACATGATTGGACATACATTTTGAGGGATGAGTCTTTAGAACTCATTGATGGGTGGAAATATTTAATTAGGACCCTTTCTTCCATCCCCATTGATGCTTTCTAAATGCCTTAATTTTTTTTTTTGACTCAGCAAAAAGAAATTATGAGTTGGGAACAACAGTCTGTTAGATAAGCAGTAATTTG